AATTGCTATGTCTAGATTTCATTATAATTGTCAAATTAAATTATGGTTACTTTTCAGACTTTACTTGAAATAAAATACTGCTAACAAATAGTGTATGTCTAGCAGAACTATCAGGTAGAAACAGTGAAGAAACTCAGGTGGGTCTGTATTTTTTCTGCCTTGCTGCTTCAATGTAACTTTTTAAAGTTAAATAAGGGCTGATTATTCTTATCCCTACACAAAAAAATATTTGCATCCTTTTTGTTGGTATCACTAAAAGATTAAAATGCTGATTAAATTTATTTTTGATTGGGTAAAATTTTATTTTTGTTGTTGATTGAAATATCAGCGCTGCTGTAAAAACAACCTAAACAACTCTTTGCAATCTATTCATACGATAGAGGCCGCACGCGACTTCGTCGTCGTCCGCTTTGGTTGTTTGAAAATCCCTCAGAAACCTAACACTTACCCTGGATAAAAAGTTATTGTAACTCTTACTGGGTTATAAGTTGTTTTTGTCTAAAAATGTCATCCCAATTCGTACGGCCGTTTTTGCGTGATTGAGTAACAAATACACAACATAGATACAAATTTTTACATTTATAATATAAGTAGGATTACTTAAACTTCCGCCATCAAAACTTTTATTTACAAAATATTAGTTGTTCAGGTAATACGAAAAGCCGGTCTAGGTACCTAATTATTATAACATCGGTACATACCTTAAATTTAAGTTTTTGTTGAATTCACCTTCTGAATGCACTTAATGTATTTTTCTTATCTCATAAAATAACACGAAATTAGTTTTTTCTTTAATAATTAAAAAATAACCAAATCACCCTCAACAAAATCAACATGAAATCAATCAAAATCAACCAACAAAAGAAACAGAGCTGCGTTCCAAACTCAGTTAGCTCCACTTCCAGATGCTTTTATGACAAATTTTATTTATTTGACATAGGTTTCATACATTTTATGTCAAAATTGAAACGTCAGCGTAAAAAGTTTTAGACTTGGTGCGTAGGTTTGGAACGTTACCCTAGACTGGCGGGAGCATAAATTAAAAATAGAGATTCAGCGTCTTCTACAACCAATATTGTAATCCTTCGCCTGTCCCAATGGACGAAAAAAATACTACTACTACTTCTACCAATATTGTAAACGAAAACATTTAACCTATAATAATGTTTGAAAAAAAGATATAAATGCAACTTTGGTCCAAGAGGACGACTACCAGTTAGTTTGGTTTAAGTCTGATGTTGTCTCTCTAGCTAACAAAAGAGACTTGGTAAAAAGTAAATTAAAAAGTTAAAACTAGAACTTGTATCTACTTTTTGTAATAAGGCGGATGGAGGTAAAACATGATAAGGTGTTATCTCTGTTGTGGCCACAGTCCCGTCTGCCATGCTTTAAATCCGGCCTTGAATATAATTCTAACCGTACTAAATGTATGAAACCGATATTTCTGTGACGCGACGTGACTCGTGATACAATACGACAGACAAATATATTTCCGGGTTTAACTATACAAACGTTCATGGTTATAAAACACTTCCAGTCAGTCTGAAACCACAAGTTGTCGCGCAGAGACTCTGTGGGCATTCTGTGTGGTTGTCTTATTCTATCTTTATACCTAGTGCAATGAAGTATATTAACTACTACCAAATACTGACACATTCTTTAGAGGTTCAACCCGAAACCACACAGAACCACACATGTCTCATCGTCTGCCTGCAACCCACACCAACAGGGTGTACAATGGACTGAGATAGACCGCGATTATTCATACTTTCGGCATTGAACAATTTAAACATGTTACTATACTAGTGCAAGTTATATTAATGTTTCATACCTTATTCTGTCTTGTGTTAAATTTGCTATAGATATCTGCTTCGCTTATTTCAATTTATTCCCATCGTCAATTGTCAATATCATTAAGAAACCTGTATAGAGAAATTATACCATGAATCCCAGAGTTGAGACACATAAGCATCTTCCTCGCCATGATTAATACCTACACATTATATGTACACACACATCAACATTCACATATACATTCACGTCGATTTTCTACTCATTTTACATTACATTTCATGATTGGCATAGGACACTTTCAGCGTATCCTGTTTGATTATCATAAGCCTTTGATCATGAAACCAAGGTGTGTCGAGCAGCCCTCGCACACACTTATCCTGGCCTCCCTTGTTCATCGGGGGGCCAAGGTGTGCCAAGCAGCCCTCGCACACACCCATCCTGGCTACCTTGTATGTTCAGTCAAGTGCACTAGACTAACATCCCGCGCAACACCTGCACGTGTTCGCCAGTACAATTGCCAATCCATGTTACAATTGTACTGCTCGTATCATAGGTAAGCCATACATCCTGCGCAACAGCCGCAAGTGTTCGCCAGTACAATTGCCAATCCATGTTACAATTGTACTGCTCGTATCATAGGTAAGCCATTCCTCTGGCTAACATCATCCCGCGCAACGCCCGCAAGCGTTCGCCAGTACAATCGCCAATCAATGTTACGAATGTACTGCTCTTAATGTAGGTAAGTCCTTTTTTGACCTACCTTTGATTAGGTATTAAAATTCAGTTAATGTTACTCACCACAGATTACAGGATTTTGTTGCCATATCCAATATTTACATTTCGCGACTTGGTCAAGTTTGCTCGTCGCGACACAAGTAAAGATACAAAAAAAGAGAATTGAATTAGAATGATGCGTAATCGATTCATTCATAATAATATACAGTTTGTCTATAAAGTCGTGACATGAATGTTTGAGGAACTAACATTATTCATGTGTCTGGCAACACCAAACTTATGTACATCAGCTGTCATTGAGTTTCAGTTGTGGAACAGTTTTCCTTTTGTATTTTGACGTGACAACGTCTTAAATTAGGTTGCGGCTGGGAGTCACTTATGAAAAAGTGTAACGCTCGGTAACGTTACGATGAGTCTCTCGTGTTAAGTTTAAGTTTACATGTACAATGTTTTAGTAAACAAAATATATTTCTATAGTTAAAATTTGTGCAATTCTTATTTTCATTCAATTCCTTGTTCCTATTGTGCAATTTAATTATATTCATATCAATAAATATTCTACCGAGAAAAAGACGTTGTCACGTAAAATCTTCGCCCGTAAAACCGACTTTACAGGCAACCATTTTTTTATTGTTTGGATTAAACTGTAATAAATTAAGACGAAACTATGCAGAAAGGTATAAAAATGAGTAAAGTAAATCGGAGTGGCACGCGGGAAGTGATTTTTAAAGTTTTCCAACGATGTTTCGAAGACTACCAAGCTGGACGAATTTTGTGGGATTTTGGACGATGTTTATTGGCGAACAGCATCTATGACGGGTATGTATGAAGTGTAATTATTTGTTTGTAATCTGCCTGAAGTTACAAATTTACTCAATTTACGATTTTGAGACCAAAAAAGGCATTGTTTACATTGCACATTTTTAGGTTAGATTGACATTGTAAATAGGTAATATTGTAGTACGACCATTTCTTTTGATACGCTATTATGGTTCAACTCGGTCAGGTTTTCTACCAATTTTGAATTAATTGCTTCATGTCAATAAATTATTGTTTCTATTCCGTTACATAGTTTTTTAATTTTTTTCAGGAAATTCAGAGAGTCGGATATTCAACGAAGGTTTTAAGAATGATGGAAAGTTTGAAACTCCTGGGAAAACAGGCAAGGCCGACCAAAGAAAGAAATGGTCACATAAAGAACCATGGCCAGATGCTTTTAGTGAAGATACCTATCACTAATTTTACTAACTGCACATTTACAAATTGTTTCTCTAAATAAACTTTTTATATACTATAAAATGATTTTTAGTATTATTTTCTTAACAAGTGTGTTAAAAAACGTCGTATGATGATACTTGTGTGTATTGATGATTACCAACGGCTCTGATCTCAATGGCACGTCAGCGGTAATCACCAACATTACACACTTTTACACTATAAAGTACTATTTTATCTGTAATAATTTTATTCTGATTCAATTAAATATGCTTGGCTAACCTTTTTATAAGCATAGGTACCTACTATATATAAAACAGAAACAAAATACGACTGTATAGTGTGCCTTATTAATTACCTATTTTACTTGAATGAACTGCTAGTATCAAAATTATTTTGGTCCGACTGTATCTAGGGTTGCTACATGCATACTAGAGGCGCCATCATTTAATGTCACGACTTTATAGACAAACTGTACCTAGGTATCCTCCATGGATATATCTCATTTAATTAGTAAAAAAATGAGGCACGAAATAATATTTATTTTTTGTAATTTTTAAGTTGGTATGTTGTAAAACGAGACAAAGAGTTTTCTCCTCTTTGTCTCGTTTTACAACCTAACCTACAGTCAAATATTGTGACTTGACTTGACTGTGATTGGAACTGACAACGTGACGTCTATTGAACTTTATTTTTAAAAGACAATGTTAAGATTTTCAGAAAAATGTATTTTTAATAGTTGTCTGACTTATCTGTCCTACATGTTTATGTAGTACATTGTAGTTATAGTACGTCCATGATCCACGGTAAAATGTCAGATATGGTTACCTTAACCCTGTGCCTTACCCTAATAAGTAGGGACAAAATCGTGTCCTGCAATTAAAAAAAAACGAGCGAGCCGTACAGTATTCGCGTATGATGTGTAACATTTGAAAACTAACCTTATATTAGTAAAAAAGAAATAAAACATACTACAAAAGGAATAAGCCATTTGAACATTATGTTCTAAAATCAAATCAAATAGCGTGCGCTTTCGCGAGTTCCTCTTACACACTTCCGTCCCATTTCACAAAATCACTCCTACAAATTGCAAGAAAGATGTTACACATCAAAAAAAAAGTAGGGACAAACCATAAACGGCCTCTAGTGTACATCTAGCGTGTCTCTCACTGTGCTCGTTTTTCGGTAACATCTATGGTTCTGTGATCTAATTGTAATCTGTGGCTTTCAGCAGGAATAATTAGAAATAATCTGTGAAATAAATATGGCGATTTGTGTGAGTGATGTGATGTGACTTGACGTCCGCAGACGTCCGTGTTGTTCGGTATCTTTATTATTTTTGTTGTAGTGTGCTGTGCTACACGCTTCTTATACAAAAACGATGAATTTAATTTTTAAGTACTGGTAAAAATGTAAATGGGAGGATTGTAATGGAATCTTTCGAAGATTCAAATTGTCACACTCTCGGCGACAGCTTTTCTGTGTACGAGCGCTATTTGAGAAGTTTTAGTGTTGTTGATAGGCTTGTTGAAGAAGATCAACACGACTCTAGTTCTTCCAGTACAGGTAACATTGAATTGTCGGCTGTTCGAACGAACCACTGCCTTTCGGCTGAACTGCAGTACGAAATATTGGATTCAAGTATTTGCAAAGTTGTCCAAGATAAAACATTAATAAATGTTGATACAAAACCTAAAAGTCCATGCTCCTTGCAAGGTACGTCATTACAAGATAATAATTCATCTACTACAGTCGAACAGAGCTTTTTAAACGATCAATCTGGACCAATAGATGTCCCCTTTTCATCTGAAGACTCGAAACCAGAAAGTTTTAAGCAACCTATTTTTATAACCTCTACCATGGAGAACAGTAACAATGCTGTTGACAGTGTACCTATGTTTCGTGATGTGAGACCTTCTGAACAGATATTTAAATTGCCTATAAGCGAACTTTCATTCAATGGTACTTTGAAGCATGTGCAAAAGCTAAAACCGATTGTTGACCCATTAACTGCACTGAGTTCAACTAGAACTTTAGTTAACCTAAGTGAAAAGGTTATAGATCAACCTTCGCCTTTCCTGATAAAACCTGATGATAAAATTGATATAAATCATGATGATGATCAACATCCCAGCAGCACATCAGATGATCAAAGTACATTTGAGAAAAATTTTATTGATAGGACAATTGAAAGTACAGGCGATTCCCAGTATGGAGAAAATAATTGTAGAAAAGATAATCCATTGTTCAATGATGATGGCAGTAGTACAAAATGGAATTCAGAACAAAGTTATTCTTCTCTTGAAGCATCCTTTGATAGTGGAGTCAGATCTCCAGATATGTTCTCTGATGAGGATGATGAAATAGTACATGCACCAGAACCATTTTGGAATTTTCTTAAAGATTATGAAGCTTATGACAAGAAACGTGTTAGAAAAACTGAGGTTAGTGCTTACTTCCTTTATTCAATTTGATATTTAAAATGTCTTTGCCTTAAAGTGAAATTGCAATTTCATAAATTATTTTTTTAGTCTTTTGTTCAGCTCTTGCCTTTTAATACTTAGTAATGTACATGATTACTGTTGTTTTAGATGATTCTTCAAGGGGTCCTGCCTCCCCCATCAGTTACTATTCTCAAAACTGATGTGACCCAAATGCTCAAGAAATACTACTGCTTTTTACCAGCATTTAGCAATGACGAAAAAGTCCCCATTCCAGAATCTAACCCTGTTACACCTACCAAAATGGTATCCTTTGTTCATATACCAACAGAACTAGGAACTTCCACACATGAGGCATTGCCAGAAAGAGCTAAAGATTCAACTCCCTTAGATGGACCAAAATGTTCACTATCAAGTGATACTATTAAATCTGAATCAGAATTAGATACAAGTGCAAATGAGAAAAGTATTAATTTCAAAACCTGCTCTGAAATGGAAGCCAAAGAAACTGCTTGGCCTGAAGTGTTGAAATGCAGACATTATGACGTTTAGTGAGTACTAATCTACATATTTGTGTATATTCATCAAAAAAGTCTATGGCCTATATTGATAGATCACTTTCAAAGTTGAGAGCTATTAATATGGGCTTAACCTTTCAATACATTTATATATTTTATGAATATATCAACTGATAAAACTTGCAGTTTATGAAAGTAATGCATGTGGCTTAGGCTTTTTTGATGTGTGTACCTATTATAATGCCTTTGTAGTATTTCATTATGCTTTATAATTGCATCTACTGTTACTGAAGGTTATTTATTTATTTGTTAGTTACTTGGTTAACTAAGTATGTTTTACAATTTACAACCCAAAGCAAAAAAAATCTAGTTCAAAATCTTAAAATATACAAATCAAGCAGTTTAATGCTTTGCAACCTAATAAAAAACAAATTATAGCCTAATTAAGACTGTTACAGTAAAGTATCTTCTTTAAATAGTTCTTCTCTTAGTATGAATGCTATGAGTTAAAGGTAATTTTAGGTAATTTATGTGTACTTTCAATGCTTTTGTAAGTCATACTATATTAATGACATTCATATTTAATAATTATGTATCATTATTTAATTATGTTGTTAAGTGAACAATTGTACTATTATTATCATGATTTTGATATCATTACTTAATGCCTCCAGCTAATATTCATGAAAAATTCTTATAATATTTCTGTTGACTCTCCAAACTATAAATTACCATGAGATAATATTCAATTGAGAAATTTATTAAAATTTTAAATGATGACGTCTATAATGAATCATTTTACCAAACATTTACATAGCCTTTCTACATATTCCTGTTATAAAGGTCTGTAGGCATACAGGATTTAATCAGGATTAACTCTTTCAATTTCGTGTTTATTGTGTACCTGAAAAAGTTTTTTTTTATTTTTCATTTTTGTAATATCTATCTTCTATTTCAGCTACAATGTAACCAAATATTCTGAGAAGTTTGAATGTCTTGCATTACGTTATGGCGAGAGGTATGTGGGCGCAGAAACTGACACTAGTGTCAGCATACACTCAGGAGGAATGCAGTCACCAAGCAGTGCCAGTAAAAGAAAAGCACTAAGGTTCTTATTGGTTTACTTACTGATAAACTTGTTTGAGATAATTATGTTTTGTTAAAAATCACATATCCATTTCAATAAAAATAATAATTGTAAAGATATTTTATCTAATGCAACCAATCCTTTATAAACCTTTTTTTCTATCCTTATGTTACATACATAAGGGTAGCAAAATTGGACTCTTCTTTAACTTCTGGACCTATTTAATATTATTTTTATTTTTACTGTGCATTCATTTTACAATGGCAATGATTCTCAAAGGAAGGAGAATCAGCCATCCAAGTACTGAGCACTAGAAAACATCTGGTCATGGCTGGCTTGGCTGATTGCAGATAATAAAGGAAAGTGAATATAAAAAAAATATATACTAGGCAGGACAACCAACTGTTGTCTGCTAGTTGATTTAATTAATTATAACTTGTAATAAATGATAATGTACAAAATTCAAATCCAATATTGTTTATTCAGTTTAGTCTGTCACAAGCACTTATAAACGTCGAAAATCTAACCCGGCACAATTTTACGGCGAGAGAACTTACAAGAATCTCAGCCAGTTTATTTTGTCATTGTTACTGAAACTAATGTTGATTTCTCCCTTTTGATCACTAGAATAACTATGATGTTTAATGTTAGTTACCATACAATTCTAGTTGTTATTTCCATTGTTTTTTTTAATAATTGAAAAGCAAAGGTTTTCATATAAATGTTTCTTTGGATTTTAGACTTGCCCAAGCGAAATCTCCAGGGCGACGTCTATCACATTTGGCACGTCGCAGGCAGACATTCTGCAGTGCTGCTACCATCAGTGAGAAGGCACAAGCAACAGCTTCCAAAATGGTCCTCATAGACAAAAAGTAAGTAAAAAATGTATATGCAATAAGTGTGGGAGTAGTGGCTGGTAGTACCTCCAGTAAACTCGATAGGGATGGTTTTGCGTATGGAATAATTAATACTCAGATGACACGGAAAATCTTGTATTCACCTTTCTAAATGCGCAACAAAAGAAGAATTTTATTTTGCACATGGAATATACAGAATATAAAATTACCTTATATTATTAATATTACTATTTGTATAATTATAAAATTCCCATAAATGTTTCTAAATAATATTAATGTTTTAAATTTTTCATACTAAACTCACCAGGAATTCCTTTTTCAGTTTCTTCCCACACAGAAAGCTGATCAACACATCCGAAAGGAGGAGTCCACGTAAACTGGGATTCCGACGAACACCCGGCAAGAAGACGCCGTTACGCAAAACGCCAGGCAAAAAGACACCGGCCAAAACTCCAAAACAACAAAGTGGCGGTTCCAGTCGAAAGAAAGCCATGAGACGTCTCCTGATGGATACAGAGAATATGACTAGATCGCAACCGACTCGAGAAACTTTGAAGAGAGCACTCTTTGTCAGTCCAGAGGGTAGAAAGACAGTCCCACCTGGGCCAAGCACATCAGTGCCGTTACAGGCAATGAAGTCCAAAAGGGCCTTATTTGGGTCGCCAATCAAGGCAGAAACTAAAAGTTGCGATGGAATGCAAAGCGACCAGCTTATGAAAAGAAAACGCGATGCATTGGACGATGAGCCTCTAAATAGCAGAAGTAAAATTGCAAAGAGTTTGTCTTTCGGATGTGAGACAGTTGGTTCCTCCCAATCGTTTTCCTTCAGTCGCCGAGCTTCGGAAGTCGTGATGTCGAAGAGTATGGCAGAATTGAATGACCACCATAAACAGGTAATGTTTATACTTTTCTAATATCAGGGATTAATGTTTAGGGCCCATTCACACCGGAACGGCAGCGGGGGGCAGCGACGCGGCCAGCACTTTTTTTATCTACATATTTGTTTCTTAGGTTTTCACGCACATCACTCATTAAATAAAACTTGTTTTTATCTACATACTTAAAAGACTAGTATTGTTTGAAAAGGTCTCGCTGTGTCGCGAGCAGGCAGGCGACCTCTTCGGGATTTTCAAGAAATACTGGTCTTTGAAGTATGTATGTATGTAAGTATAAGATAAAGTGTTAGATTATTTCACACTGAAAGTGCTCCCCGCTCCGGCTCCTGAAATTTCGGTATGAAACGGCCCTTAGAGTGCTATAATTAATGTTACCCAAAATAATTACAAAGGTACCACTATTGATTTTGCAAAACGTGTCGCGATCAAATTCTGTTTGAAACTGCATGATTATGTAATGAGTATTTTACTAGAAAGTATTCGAAGTCTTCAAAGCTGATATAATTGAATTCATATTTGTTATTTCTTTTGATCAATAGTGTTTTATTAAACTTATTATATTGTTTGATAGTTTGCTATCGTAAGGCCTAACGGTCCAACGGTCTTAACCGTTGGCTCGCCCACTTTCGTTGGTGATCCATTGACAAGCTAAAGAGTCTGCTCTTATCGTTGGCGAAGTCTTGGCGTGTTACCAGACGGAGTTTCTTTTGAGAAAGAAAAGACGCTGTATGGCGTCTTTTCAGTGTGGGTAAAAAGTTGGCTTTAAGAAAGACTGATTCTCGTTTGCTGTACTTCCACAGACAATCATGTTGATTAAAACATTGTACAAAAGATTGGCAGATCGCCGGCTCGACTGATCCACTGACAGTTTTCGCACCGCGGACTTAGAATTTCAAGCATACACAACGAGCCAGCGAGCAAGTCCGCTGGTTTTTAAATCCGCGGATTTTTAAGTGTTCCATTGGCCATTTAGACCTTTGGATCGCGAGTTCGTTGGCGTACCGGTTTTGTACTCGCAAATGGATCATCCCCTTTACATTTTTGAATCAGTAACAGTACTTCGTGGAGTAGTCCGTAAAATTAAAATTTGGAATAAAGAACCATGCCTGCCCGCCTAGCATGAACACCGCGATATGATATATTACTCGTTTTTATCTCGCTCAAAAGTCAAATTACTATGGAGTTTGATAGTTAAACGCGATAAAAAAACGTAATATAACATAAATTGGGGTGCTCATGCTACGGGGACAGGATGCTTCAAATAACATGCCAATACATCGTCATCGGCAGAATCACCTATAAAATAAATTAATTTCTTTTCCTAAAACACAATTTGATATCCAAGTTTTCGATCTTCGGAGGTCCAGGTGTGGTGAGGGACCCCAAAAAAATTATTTAAAAAAAAACGCGACTACTGTAAGGCTCGCTGCCTTACAGTAGTCGCGTATGATGTGTAACATTTGAAACCTCACCTTATATTAGTAAAAAAAGAAATAAAACCTACTACAAAAGGAATAAGCCATTTGAACATTATGTTCTAAAATCAAATCAAATAGCGCGCGCTTTCGCGACTTCCTGTCACACACTTCCGTTCCATTTCACGAAATCACTCCCAAAAATTGCAGGAAAGCGAGAGGAAAGATGTTACACATCAAAAATTCTTGTTACATGTTAAGATATCAAACACCAGGGTGTTAGCACGACTGTCGCTAATTCATAGTTTATATGTTTGTAGAAACTCCTGTGGGCCGTGACGGCTGCGTTGCGCGTGCACGGATTGAGCATGTCGTCGCCCGGCTTCCGTGAGAAGGCATCATCGTTGGCGCGCCTCACGCGCAAGCTATTGACACTTCCGCCGCACGCGGCCCGCCTCGCCGCACCGAACCAATCCACCTCTGATACTATGCTCAAGTGAGTATCATCAAAAATCATCATCAGTATTATGAATGTGCCCACTAGGGTTGCCAATCATACTATATAGTATCCTACTATATTAGGGGATCAAATAGTATATTTCTAAAAAAATATATATAGTAGGCGAAACTACTATATTTTGCTTAAAGCAGACTTTTGCCAGTTAAAGCTTTCTTAAAATTAAAACCTTAATACATAAGGTATAGAGCAGCAAAAATATAATTACTTCAAAAATACACATTTTCATTTTTTGTCATCTACTATATTTTTAGAGGTAACAGCTTCGAAAATACTAGGTATATTTGATAGAAAGAAGTTGGTAACCCTAGTTCCCACTATTGGGGCACAGCCTTCCGTATGGATGAAATAGGGAGATTGGGCCATGACCCACCACGCGGGCCCAGTGCGGATTGGCGGGTGATAACTACTGCAGATGCAACGGCTTAACGTGCCTTCCGAAGCACGGAGGAACTCGAGATAGAAGATTTTTGGTCACCCATCCAATGGACAGACCACTGCGAAAGTTGCTTAACTTCAACGATCGCAGCCGAATGCGCTAACCACCTGCGCCATCGAGCTCCTCCTCATAATCAAAAATATGTCGATTTATTTCTTTAAAAAAATATGTCGATTTATTTCTCTGCGTTTTGCAAATAGTAAAGTAAAGCGCGCAACAAACCATACCCTTAGCATGAACCAATGTCAAATTCGTAGCGTTTGCGAGTATGAAATGTCGTGGTTTTCGGCTATGTCGAAGCTCTTCTTACACCGTGATTAATAATGAAATTTTCTAAAAAAAAATTTTTTTTTGTTTTTAGGATTGCACGTATATACGTGTACGCAATTATTCAAGGCCGGACCGTGGACGACTGCTTCGAAGAGGAAAAGACCAAATTAGCGAACGAAGCCAACAGTAAAATATCCGGTTACATATCGGCCAGTGCATATCAACAGCTAAAGGCTAGACAGGCACCGACCAGCACACTTACTTCACGTATAAAAGAAAATACATATAGTGATGGGTCCGTCAAACCAGAACAACCTAGGAGTAATTCGAAGAATGTCCTTCAGGACAAGTTGGTGAATATAGACACGAATTCTAATAGTAGTAGTAGTATTAGTTTAAGCTTATTGAAGTCGAATTCCATGCCTTCGTTCGAAGAAGCTGCTAAAATGAGGGCCCGCAGGCAAATTAGTTTCGACAATGTGGATTTCCCTAAAAGGTGATGTGTTTATGTAGGTATGTACAATTTTATTTTTGAGCACAGTCACATGTGAACCGTAGTCATAGTGTTTTATAATTCATGTCAATTTGGCTTGTTTTTTTATTATAAGCTACAAAAAATATTAACATTTTTGTGAACCAATTTTATGAGATTGACCATGTTTAAGATGACTTGATACTATAATATCAGATCAAAATATGAAAGCATAACAATATTTCAGTTTGAAAATTAAATAATAGTAATTATCTACCCCCCAATAACCGTTTTTGGTTAAATAGAAGCTTCTTAGGGCTATGGCTGCGTTTCCATAAAAGCAGAACTGTTCAAAGCTGAGCTGACGTTTAAAGAAACTGACGAATGGCATAGCTCTAAATACGCACACTATGAATATTGAACCATGCTATTAACACAATTTCTCTAAGAGTGCTCAGCGCCGCGTAGTTCCGCTTCTGTGGAAACTTAGCTTTAATATCTATCGGAATTAACGGATTTTTCAATATAACTGGTTTTACCATATCTGTTAATTCCGATATTATCTGTAGCTAGCTACATGTCACTGCAACGACATGCGTTCTCCAAAGATCCTGGGCTAGAGTCTCTGGTGGAGCTTCTCTTTAAGTAATGAATACAAATATTTTGTGTTATATTCATAGTACCAGCTTAATATTAATGTCTATATTTTTAGTACCTTTTATTATTGGAATATAACAATGGCTACTTACTAACTAAACTATGATATTTCCTCTTACTGGAGATATGATATTGGAAACGACTGATATTGAGGGTAGTTCCGACTTTTATTGACTCTACAAACATGTTCCTATTTTACTATTGTAGGAGTTTTAGACGAGGCGCACAAGTACGGTTTCCTGATCTAGGATTCCGTGAGCCTAACGCAGATGTTTCGTTTTTTTATTAGTTAGAGTCCAAATAGAACGTTGTTTTTTTTTCCATTCTGAAAAAAGAATAGTATGCTCCTCATTAAACATTTGTATATAAGGACGGGCATTCAGGTTTCCGGATCGGGATGCCTGATCAGGAAACCGTACATGTGCGCCCAATCTAAAACATAAAAAGAAAATGATATTGTACAAAAGATTATTTTGTGAGATTCATGAAAAATGATTTACTCACTAGACAGCACACTGTATCAATTACCTGACAATCTTATAATGTGAATGGACCTTACGGGTTTCAAAATTTGACATACAATCTTCGATCATTGATAAATCGAAGCAAACAATATAATTTTCGTGAAATTTAGTAAAATTAAATATTAATTAAGTTCAGTGTAAATATGTTTGATTTCTATTTATTTAAGAGAAACTGTTAGTGTTTTTGTATTGGTGAACATTGACCTATAATTCAATGTTAGAGCAAAAATCATCGAGTGTAAATGCATAGCGGATTCTAATCTTATTACTGCTTTATTAGATTGGTTAGTCATGCGTTCAACACGAGTTTAGAAAATATGTCACAAAAATTTTGCCTATACATAGGTAAAACAGTGTCTAACTTTTTTGTAGTACAACTATTATGTTTTGACGCACAAATAGGGTTGGGAATTCTTTCAAAACCCCGGGACACGAGACAGCCTACGATCTAAGTCCCGGGACATACCGGGACTTCGAGACTTTTAAGAATATAATTTCAATTTAGTTAATTTCTGGTGTAAATTAATAAATTTTATTGTAAAAATCGATCATTGACGATTTTACAAAAGCGCCGCTGCAACAGAAACACCGCACCACACTCACTCACCTCATACAGTGCCACTAAGATCTTGTGCATTTAGAATACATTGACAGGAGGGTGCTGCTCATTAGTAAGTGGTGAAATGTGTCACATTTGTAATAGAAAGTGACTTCATGAGTTACCTCATATTGAAGTCATTTTTCAATTTGACGACTCTGTATATAATACAGGGAGAAAAAAACAGCTCTTGCTGAGTTTCTTGCCGGTTTTTCTCAGTACAAGGTCTCCCGCCTTAGATTTGCGAACCGAAGGCGTAGCTTTTCGACATGCACAAGTGCTTGTAACAGCCTAGACTGAATAAACGATATTGATTATTGATTTTAACGTACGTACGTAAAATCTCTTCACTAAAGAGAACTTTTTATAATAACTCGGATAGAGAAATAGGAAATATAAAAAGGTTTATTTACACCTCCCTTTATAAATAAAAGGCTTTATATCTTCTTAAAATAAGTTTCGATTTCGGCCACGCGCCACAAGATCTTGGTCGCACTAAATTAAATTGACGACTGACTGAGCTAACACAGACACAATCACAATCCAAACGTCACAGCACAATGAATGTAGTGACGCGGCAAACGCATTTATAAATAAATAATAATAAATAAAGATATTTATTTTCACTCTAAATTACAAGTGTTCCATCGAAACAATCAATGGATGCATTAATTGTTTTTCTAATTTTAAGAGGTAATCGTTGACAGCTGTAATAGTAAAAACTGTGTATAATTAATAGTAAAATTTATTGTGTTGTGTACTCAATAATTATGTAGTAGACCATTTAATTATTCATTGAAATAATAGAACTTTAATTTTTTTGAAATAAAAAGTCCCTAGTCTCGACCCGAAAGTTCGATAAATTTACAAAAAGTCTCAGGACTTCGAAATATGAGACGTCCCGGGACCCAAAACCCTACGCACAGAGCACCCCAGTAGAGTCTCAATTTATCGAAATCGCCAAAGTTTGAGCTTAAGTGGAAGCGCCGCGTAAAATGTGACGTGACGGTAAAGTTAGAGATGAGTTAAAAATTTTGGTTACCCATTGGTCTATAAGCAATTTCATTCGCTTCGGGAACCGTTGACCAAGTAAAGTCCTTTAATATATAATTTTTATTTAGTCTAATTATTTTTATTTGTGTGACTATTTTATGTTTTAAGTGTCTCCATAACGACGTCGTTAACTAGCTCATTAATGTTCTTCCTTTGGATAGATTTGTTGTTTTGTCATATGATTATAATTTTATTTTGTTATTTTGCATGACTTATTTAGCAATTAAAAAAAAACATTATTATGTGTGAGTCGCGCTAATAACGAAGTGTTCTATTAAAAGCGGTCGTTTTAAGATATGTGGGCAGATGTTTTCTGTATTTCGATGCGAAGAAAAATCGTAATATTACAGAGTTGCCATGATACATGCAAAATGCTCTATGTTAGAATTTAGACGAGCTAACTTTGCTATTTTGAATTTGAGCAGAATCAAATAATCTATTATTATGCTGGCGATCAGCAAATCTAGTTTTTATTATATTATCAATCAACAATGATCTCGGGCAAATATATTTTTTCCATTATATTGCATGGTTGTAAGTACAATTAGTAACTGTTAAGTAATTTGTAGTAACTACAATAATACATTTTTTTTAAGGAGAGATGTATTGAACTGCAATGGGTATTAATATACCCTTCTTTATTGGCGCGAATTATAAATCGCTTTGTTGATATTACTCAGTCAGGAGGCAGTCAAGCAGGCGTATATCATACGTAGTTAATCTATTCCATCATAGCTTGGTAGACCCACCAACTACGATATTGCAAAGCGAATTTTATAAAAATAATAATAACACCGTGAATTTGCATCTAAAGCACACAATTGTGGCGCGTTTCCTTTGTTAAAGTACTTAAATTCAAGTATGACGAAAGCACTCGCGTGCAAGTTACTTAAATGAGGTTATTAAGGTAAATTTACGTCATTAGTAAGCGCCACTGTGACGTCCAACATGCATTTAAATTTATCCATAGACTATGACGACTATATATACTATACGTGATTTGACGGATGAGTAGACCTTTCGTCTCAGTGCGCCACCTGGTGCCTGTCATTCCAGAAAACCTTCATTATTGTAGAATGTAATTACGCAACCTGTTAAAATGGTATCTATATATTGTTCATACAATAACTGTGACGATTTTATGAAAATATGTAATGTTTAGATTACCTTTCTAACAAACTTGTATAAGTACAGTTAAAACTAAATACTGCGGGCTTATTGTGTTATTCTGCTCAAAAATATATTATTATTTATAAATACAAATAATATTATTATTAAAAAAAATGTTTTAAAAGTAAACTAAGCATAATAATAATCTTATTTAATTATTGTATTGGTATAAATCTAACTTACCAATGACAATTTTCAAGACATTTGAATGTAAAAAAATCCTTTTGTATTACTATCAGTCAGAGTCACATAATAGGCCTGTAGATTAATAGCGATGTTATGGTACCTATGCATTTCGCTTTTTTCTTCGATAAGATTCACCTATGTAGTTTAATAAGAATAAATGGTGTGTGTTTTCATGGTGTAGTATAAATGCTTTACTATTGCTGAGCTCGATCTCAGGTGTAATTGATAAGTAATAAATTATTTTTTTCTCATTCTTCACTTTTATTTTACTTGTAACTTTAATTACAGGTGTAAGCGTTACTTTTAGGAGTAGTGTAATTTTTTGTGTGGGCATTTCATTGAAAAGTTCCCATCCACTCTGTTCATACAAAAGAAGTAAAGTCCTCTACTCCCTATCTATTTTGCTGGATCTAGCATGCGGAACAGCGCTATACGCGTAAAAAAGAGATTTTGTATCTCCCTGTTTTACGTGTATAGTGCTGTCCCGCATGCTGGATCCAGCAAGACGGATAGTGCGTAGAGGACTTAATATTTAAATTAAGTCTGCGCAGATTTAGTCACTCGGCAGTACCTACATTCGTTATCTTTTATAACGAAGTCAATAATGAAAACATCATTAGATCGATACGATAAGATAATATTCTGAAACAAAACTATAGCATATCGGGCGTACATTCCCATTTGATTTTTATAATACTGTATTGTAGTGATAAATTTAAATATGGGCAGTTCCCAGTCGTACCCTGGGCTTACCGAAGACGTGTTGGAAGATTACATCTCATTGACATACCTGAGTAAAGGAGAAATATTACAGTAAGTATATGATCCAGTCTCTAATCAATAAATATTAGTCGTAACCCATATTAGAACAGTAAATAATAGATTCTATATCTCCACCTCTTTTACGTGTATAGCGTTGTCGGATATACGGATCGAAAAACTTAACAGTGGTAATGTATAGACAGAGCCATCGAATCTTTGTTAATGCATGAAGTGATAAGTCCATATTATAAAGAAGGTCATTGTTCATTTATCTTCAACAGAAAGAGGCTCCACGGGGAAAGTGCATGAGAATTTTAATGATAGTAGGTACCGATAGGTGCATCTAGACTTATAGACACCTTTTAATTCCCCACAGATTGATACACTTTTATGTAGGGTACCTACATTAACCAGGTTTTCCTATTACAGCCAGTTTCAATAATCCAAGTAAAAGGTAAGGAAAATCTGGTACCGTTTCTTAGCAACAGATGATAGTTTTGATAATAAAAATATCTTAGCAACAAAGCTCGAAGAAATCCTGATTAATGTACCCTACATATATCTGGGGAATAAAAAAGTGTCGCTATTCTTCTCGTAAACTTATTTTAAAGAATATAAATTGAAAGTGCTAGCCCCGAAGCCCCGAAAGAATATAATTTGTTAATAAACATAGGCTAGATTCCTGAATTAGTGCCTAGGTATTAAACTTGGAATAATGTTACAGCTTGATGAAGAAATTTTATTCCATAAATCCACAAATATTGGAAGCTGATTTTAATCATCGATTTCATAAGGACGATGTCATCGCAAAATTTGGAACAATAAAGGCATGGAATATAAGTATTCATACATTCTTATTTTTTTAAAGTTTAAACTTATTTTATAGTTTTATAACATAATTTGCACGCCAAATTGGGCCCAACATTTGTTTAAAGTTGGAAGTTAATGGTTTTCTTTGCCTCTGCACCACCAACTATGGTTCAAATTTACCGGATCGGCATCGCTTCAATCAGACCCATTATGAGCGGACGCGAGCTGAGAGACATTTGAGAAATAGGTATTTGAAAATTATTGCTGTCACGCACTGGCGAATACCGTGCAATAGGGACAACAATAGTCAACGTTGATAGTTGCGTATAAAAATTGCAAAATTCGGGGTTTGTCTCTCGTCGATTTCCTCCTCGAAAACTAGATAGCAAAAGAAATTTTACTCAAAGAATAATATGTACCTAGTCATTCTATGCCTCTATGTTTTGTTATTTTTTGTAAATGCATATTAAATCTCAACAATAGACATCTTTAGTCGTGATAAAATTTTGTATATTTTGAGCCTTTTTCGAGGACTTCCAGATTTTTTGAAACAACTTATCGAAAAAAGGAAGACAGGGGCATAGAAAGAATAAAATTATTTAATGTATGAAAATCAATTCTTTAGTGATAAAAATCAAGGATAGTCATAAAATTGGTTGACTCGGAACCCCCGCACTTTACGTCTCTCTCACCGCGCGCCGTCCTCTCGCTTCAAGACCTTTCCAAGAGTTGTATTTAAGATAGGGCAGCGGTAATTAAATGTAGGGTATAGGCAGGGGCGTGCCGCCCTTTGTAGCCTGCAGCCCCGTTTTAAGGTTGGGCAATAGTATTTTGCGCTAGCTAGACTCGCTTACGTTGTTCCGTTTACCCGCTTACATAATTCCGTCCACGTTTTCCCCGTGTGTACCCCTCTCCCGAAGCAAATTTATGGATGTTTCTTCGTCTGACGTCTAACAATAAGTTCGGCGTCATCTTGCTGTAAGTACGCCGTCGCCTATACGTCCACTCGACAAGTACCTACAGGCTATATGTAAATGTAACCAAATGGCCATACCGCAAACGTCTATCCGCTTCGGGTAAAGCATGATTCACGCTACACCGTGCCAAACGGGCCGTGCCCCCGGAGCACGGTCAAACATGGTATTGTTTTTTTTTGAAGTAGTTCGGGTCGGCCGGGACCCGGCCTTGTGCCGCCGGGACTCGACCGGGACACGGCGCTGAAATGTCGGTGGGTATTGTTGTTTCCCGGCTCCGGCACGGTTCGGTCCAAAAAAAAACAAAACTGACACAAAACACTTATGGTTGGAGCCCGGCGCAAGCTACACCGTGTCGCGACCGGGCCGTGCTCCGTCCAGGGCACGGTCAAACATTATGGTATACTTTTTGTATGAAGTAATTCATACCTGACCGTGCCCCGGCTGTGCACCGCCGGGTTTCGGCCGGGGCACGGCGTTGAAACGTCGGGGTGGGTATTGTTTCCCGGCTCCGGCACGTTGTAACATGAACATATGCGCCCGGACGCCCACAGAGCAGTCGACGGCAAATCTTAGGCTGGGGATACACATGCCAGTAAATCGGGAAAGTAGCTGGCATGAAAGTTACTGGCATGTACGAGTAACTGGCACACTGTGGATACATTTGCAAGTAGAACTGGCATGCAAGTTGTGCCCTTGCATGCCAATATTACCATCGCGTATACACAGGACAGTTTGTGAGATTCACTCGTACCTACCTATTCTTGCGCGCCAAATATGGATAAGAATCGAAGTGAATTAAACAAAATCGTGTTGTTACTAGCAGCTGTATAGTTCTCTCATCTCCCCATCGTGTCATGTTGAATACAAAAACCAAAAAAAAAACTTGAAAAAACGAACTCAAAATACCTGCGCCTACGCCACAACAAGTCGGCATGCCCGTAGCTGTCGCGTCTGTTCACACGTACCGGGGTTAGCAGCCCCCACGTCCCCTCCCTCAACGGGCATGCAAGTAAATCATATGTTGTGCTAGCTACATGCATGCCAGTATGCTAGACATGGGCGTTTTTGGTTTTGAACGCAAACGGATATTTATCGGATTTCAGATTTCAAAATCGATTTTAAAATCCGTTTTTAGATATCCGATTTCAGATGTGCTGAAGTTAGCCAATTCACTAGTTTGTGTTATGATTTGGTTTTATTAGCTAACGACAATCACAAACAATTAATTGTAGGAAGCAAGGATACTCGTAGATATTCGCGATTAACGGTTAAGAGTAAAACTTTTGCGGCGCATTTAAAAATCGGCTTTTATACAATGATTTCTTTTTACATATTTTTTAGTATTTTTATTTGTTATTCTGTTTGTTTTTATTATTTTTCAAACCATTTACAAAATCAAACCTAATTACTTCAGGTTAGCGTCCAAAAATGTAAGTTGCTCGACTTTTGATGTTTTTAGACGACATATCTTTTCAGTGTTAAATAATCCCGCCTCAGAGAACAGCAATAGATTTCCGTAAACAGCAAATCGAAATCGGAGTTCCGAGCACGAAATCTGACTTCCGCAAACGAAAGCACGAATTTCGAATCCGATTTAGATTTGGATACTTGTGGTATTTGGTTTTTGTTCGGTTAGATTTCTGAAATCGGATTTTCTTGTTGAGAAATCGTTCGGTATCGATTTGTGTTTGAAATCGGATTTTGGATTCGTTTTGATATATCGGACGCATGCCTACAGTATGCCAGTATTACAGGCATGCCGTTAGCGTATACACATTACAGTAACTGGCACGTGCAAGGAGCTGGTATGCTAGTGTGCAAGCTACGGGCATGTGTATCCCCAGCTTTAGTGAGGTGAGCAGCTCAACAGCAAAATGGACGATGAAAAATTATTAGAATGTGTGCAAATTCTCCTTCTGCTTCTCGCTTTCTCCAGGTTTAATGGACACCCCATCTTCTATTAGTAGTTTAGCTTCGTTTTTCAAAATACTTCATTATCGATGGTAATTGCAATAGCTGCCAGTTCAAGTTGTGAAGTTAAGCGTCGCGTCTATCGACTGATGAAATCACAAGTTTACACAAAACACTTATCACACACACGGCCGTGCAAAGAATACACGCAAACAGCCCGGTGTAGCATGAATGACTGTCCCGGTCGTAAATGCTCTGGCAGGCGCACGGTGGACGTGCTACGGGGTGGAGCCCGGCCCGGTCGAGCCACGGTGTACCGTGAATCATCCTTAAAGGTCTCAGCCATCTTGGTTAAACTAATCAGCTGAATTGATGTCTAGCTAAGCCGATAGTTAAAAGAATTGAATCACTTTTTCCATTGCTAGTTTTTATGATCATGATAAACATTAGACTTAATTGACATGTCTGATTTCGATCATTGTAGGGTTTAATTCAAATGTTTGAATATTTCCAGAACAATCCATTCAGAGATCGTTTATTCAGAGTATTTTCTTCAAAGGGTGACGATTATTTTTCATTTGAAGACCTTTTAGACTTGTGTTCTGTTATGAGCCATAATTGTCCAGCTGACGTAAAAGCTGTATGGGCTTTTAGAATATTCGGTGAGTCTAAATAACGATAGGCAGACTTGGATATTCAAGTAATATCTGGAGACCTTCTTTCCTCTATGGCCTAAGGCATTTAAACCAATAAAAATATATTACTAACACCCGGTTTCTGAAACGCATGTCATCGAAAAAATTACGTAACAAATTGTTAATCTCTATTTAAATGCACTTTGGGTTTCTCAATGAGCCAAGTGACAGTTTGTCAATGATTTGTTGTTGCAAATGTCAAATCTCGAATTAATGGCCGATTGCGGTAGTTTTTGGTTTCCGGAAAGCTTTTTTGTATGTTAACTGCATGTTAACGTTTTGTTGTGTTTTAATAAGTAATTGGTGAAAATTTATCAATTAACAGACTGTCAAAAGAAATTTTACTGATATTTTGGTCAGAGGATTGTTGAAAAAATGTTGTCAGATTTATCTGTTGACGATATATCCCTATCTAGTGACGAGGAAGATCTGGCACCAACTCGCCAGTTCCACACCCGGTTTCTGAAACGCATGTCATCGAAAAAATTACGTAACAAGTTGTTAATCTCTATTTAAATGCACTTTGGGTTTCTCAATGAGCCAAGTGACAGTTTGTCAATGATTTGTTGTTGCAAATGTCAAATCTCGAATTAATGGCCGATTGCCGTAGTTTTTGGTTTCCGGAAAGCTTTTTTGTATGTTAACTGCATGTTAACGTTTTGTTGTGTTTTAATAAGTAATTGGTGAAAATTGATCAATTAACAGACTGTCAAAAGAAATTTTACTCATATTTTGGTCAGAGGATTGTTGTAGTGGTAGTAAAAAATGTTGTCAGATTTATCTGTTGACGATATATCCCTATCTAGTGACGAGGAAGATCTGCCACCAACTCGCCAGTTCCAGAAACGAATAAATCCTGTAATTCATTACAATGATGAAGAATTTAAGGATCGCTACAGGATTTCAAAATCTGTTTTCCATCAACTAATGGGAAATCTGACACACCTGGAACTTAAAACGAACAATTATTGTACACTGGCTTTAGTGTTCCTAGAATTATACTTATCCACATATTGTTAAAAGCTCCCTCTTTTCTCGCTCCGTATAGTTTTTTCGTGACATATTATGTAAAAACTTTACAAATGAAAATAAATTTCAATGTTTTCGGTACACACAATCGCTTCTATTTTTCTGTCTTCTAAATAAAAGTCACTTATAAGTTGTCAAAAGATAGAGACAAAGCTATGCGTTAGACAGAAACAAAACATGAATGATCGAATGAAAGTGACTGGTTTTAGCTAGGGTGGCCAGACTAATAAATAAATCCTGCCTTAACAGTAGATTCGTTAATTTTTCGGTAAATAGCTTTTCAGAAACCCACAGTTGCTCAACAAATAGTTAATTATGACAGTCTGTCAACTAATTCAATATTTGACATGCGTTTCAGAAACCGGATGTAAGTCTCGGGTATTGTCTGTCATTGATGATCGATGATGGATAATTTATAATGATGGATGATTTTCAGACTTGGATGAGGATAAACAGATTTCAGATGGAGATATTAGCAAAATATTAGATCGTCTAACGGCGTGCGAGGATAAGGAAACATGTCTTGATGAAGTTTCCAAGGAGAAAATAGCTAAGGAGGTAAGTAAATACGTAGTACCAGATTTTCACAAGTTGCCTTCGCTTTCTTAAAGGTTCAATGATTTTTTTTCCTGAAAATATTGTTCGTTAGGTTTTCCAGTTTTTGAGTAAGCAAAGCTTTGTGAGGGTATCGTTAGACTTTCTTATAATTATAGTCACAAGACAGCGAAGATAAGGAGCCGCTGTTCAATTTAAAACCTTAAATGAAAAATGCTAAATTCATAAAATTACATCTTTTTCAGATAATAAAAGAAATGAATTTAGATGGAACAGGCAGTATCAGTATCAGCGAATTCAAATTAATTATGGCTAGATTACCCGAATTCGAAAGCTCCTTTTATTTCAGACTATAAAGCTTCATACTACCTATTTTTACTGTGTTTTATTTTAATTGTTTGTTACCCTCTGGCCTGGGGATGGAAATAAAAACATAATATGCGACAGCCGTAAACGTTCACGAGCGGATACTAAAAGTGAAGCAAACTTGCACCAAAGTACCTACGTAAATGAAATTAATTTCCATCTCAAAATTGAAATACTTGATGATGATGAAGTAATGTGCTAAACTGGATATAGCTCAATAGAACTCGATAAGCGAGAGTCTGCCTCGCTCCTTTAGTGCCTGTCCACATCTCCACGTCACGATTTCGTCGTTCACGTGGAACGGTGCAGTAAAGTTGCACTTAGGGTTCTGTAATATCATTTTTTAGTAATTGTTGTTATATACAGCGTATATGGGAAATCATATAAAATAAAATCACATTCTTAACAGTATCGATTTTATGTTTTTATTTTATTTTTTCAATCATTTAACTGCTAGATATTTAAATCTAAAGAAAAAAATTAATAGAAAAAGGTATCGATTTTGTTATAGACCCAAAAAAAAATAGATTTCGTTTCCTTTATTTATGCATGGGACCGCTCGAGAAAAAGAATTTAATTGAATTATTAACTAAATATTATAATTGTAATACCCAAAGGACAATGGGCAAAACACACCCAGCTCCGCCAACAATGTTATTAGTATGAATCGATAGATCTATGAAAAACTAGCCTTTTTTATTATGACGCCGTAAAAAAATATCCTGGGAGTCAAAAGATATGACACCGTAAAAAATATCCTGGTAGTTAAAAGATGTGACACATGGGCATATTTAAGTAACTAAATAAATTCATTTTACAGTACTTTTATTTTATATTATTATTAGTAACCATAATAATATGGCATATCGTACTATACAACCAGATATACGACAAAGCCTGCCGATCCATCCTGCGCTTGCACTTACTGAGACACCTCAAAACGGTTTACGGGGGTTGAAGGACTTGCAGTTGCAAATAGTCGACTCGTCTTACTTCGTTGTAACTGTGCGCTCCCTGTCACTTGATTGATTTTTATCTAACACGCTTTGGACATTGGAACACTATTATCGGTTTTGTCAATTAGTATGGATGAAATACACAATTTTGTTTTTTAATGATTAATTACATACATTTATTTATTATTATTTAGAAAATTTTATTAACAAATATTGCTAGGTAAATTAATAATGAAGTAAATGATGTTCGTGTATTGTGTTTGTGTGGCACTAGGGAATTACAATGCCAGCTTTGCAGCGTACCTACATCCTCGCGCTTCCTAGGGGCAGTTGCTGAAAATCAGCATTTTGTCTATTAAGGCAAAAACACTGCTGAGCTTCTGCCTATTTGCATCACTGTCACTCACTAATGATTGTAGTTCATACTAGTTATTTAAGAACTGTTAAACTTTTAATCATTTATGTCTGCTTATTATTAATTGTACTAATTTGTGATGCAAATAAATGAATTTATTATTATTATTATTATTACTTTATTACAAAAAATAAAGATGTGGTTTTTGGTTCTACTACACCAATGGTCAAGAGATGGCGCTGTAGTCTCCTGAATCGCGCTTTGGTTCCGTTGTCCAGATTAATAAATACTTTTGATAGGCTTTCACAATGCAGTCGTTAGCACCCACTAAATAGAGATTCTATTTCTATTTTGTTGGTAGATTTTCTTAATGTGTGGTAAACACAAAAGTAACGCATGAAATTTTGTGTTACAGTGATGCGCGCGCATCTTAAAATTTCACTCTCATCATTTTTTCATAACGCGCCTAAAGAAGTATAACTTCAAAAAGGACATGTGCTGTTCACATGCGATAGAAATGAAACCTACAAAATGTGAACATGTAAGTCTTTCATGACTAGGTACGTTTTAAAGACATCACCTGTGTTAAAATTCAACTCTCTACATTTTAACATTTTAAATATTAATGCTACGAAGTGGAAGCTATGTATGAGGAGATCATAAAGCCGTACATAGCTATAAAACACACTACACGGTTGTGATGGGGGACTTTAACGCAGGGTTGGGGAAGCGTTGACCGGCATGGCGTCAGCTGAGTCGGCCCCGTGGCGGCAGCCCCCCCTTGTACTTGCAGGACTTTGCGGGTACGGTGGGCACTAGGCTGTGTACTCAGCCCCCATGCGCGGGCCATGCTGCGCACGTCTGCGGGGTCCCCGCGATATCCCGGGAGGCCCCGGCTAGGCCAGGAGGCTGCTAGGTGCGAAGACGCGGAAGAATCCCTAAACGGAGATCCCGCGGCTTCGCGCTAAGCAGCTTAGAGGGTATTCGCAGGGTTTTTTAGCGTATATTATGCCGTAAAGCGCCCGTAAGAGTTACGGGGTCCTCAGTGGGTAGCCACTGCTGGGGCTTGTAAGGCTTGCGGGAGCCAGGTATGAGGTCCGTTCGGCGGTGTGCCTCTTAATGGTGCCGTCGTCTGTAAACAGTATTTTTTGCCTGCGTATAAAAAAAAGGGTTGGGGAAGCGTTGCGGTGATGAGTTGAGAGTGGGTCAATTTGGAGTTGGACAACGCCAGAGGGCAGATGTTGGTAGATTTTATGAAGAAGGAGAACTTCTATATGATAAACTCTTTCAGAAAAACCCCAAAATCGAAAATAAACCAGCCCCTCTAGCATGACCACTGAAACGGGATATGATAAAGCGATATATCGGCATTAACTGTCAGACTATAGAGGAGTTTGACAGTAGTATGACAGTTAATGCTGATATATCGCTCTATCATATCCCGTTTCGGTGGTCATGCTAGAAGGGCTGGTAGAGTCCGGACGGCAACTCCGAAACGAGATCGACTTTATCGTGTCGACGAAAAAGCTAGTATTCAATGATGTATTTGTAATCAACGCCGTCAAAACGGGAAGTGATCACCGGTTAGTACGAAGCTCATTGAATATCAAGATTAAGCTCGAAAGATCTCGAATAATAAAGTCTACACACCGACCAGTGCCTGCATAACTCCAAAACCCCGAGAGCTTTCAACTCGAACTTCTAAACCGCTTCGAATCCCTTGAGAACAGCTTAAATGTGGACGATCTAAACAGCACGGTGGTGGATACTGTCCGTACGCTAGGGATCAAGTATTTTAAAGGCCACATTACCAAATTAAAAAAAACTTTCTGACAAGACTTTCCTAGTCATGAGACAGCGGAACGAAATGAGAGTACAGAATTCAGGAGATGTAAGTCGCTACCGGCGGCTAAATAGACAGATATCACGTCACGTATCCGTCCTTGACAGCGACCTTCGCCGATTTAATACGAATTGTATCAAAGAGGCTATCGAGCGCAACAAAGGCTTCAAAGTGTTCGCGGGAGATCTGTCTATTGGGCAAAGTCAACTGACTAAACTGAAGATTGACAGCGGTAGCATTATTTCGTCTAAGGCTGAAATCCTGAGGGAGATTAAGAGTTTCTATGGACGGCTGTAATCCACGCAAGCACCTATTGAAAACAAGGCTAGAGACCCCAGAGCCAAGCTTACTCGACACTATACTGAAGATATCCCGGACGTCAGCCTAATGAGACAGGTATGGCTCTCAAACAACTTAAAAACAACAAGGCGGCGGGCGATGATGGAATCGCAACAGAACTTCTGAGAGCGGGCAGTAGGCTGATACTCAAAGTCCTCCAGATGCTTTTCAATTCCATCATCCTCGAAGGCAGAACGCCAAAAGCATGGGCCAATGGTGAGGTTGTCCTGTTCTTCAAGAAAGGTGACAAAGCACTCTTGAAAAACTACCGAGCAATCTCGCTTCTTAGCCATGTTTATAAGTTGTTTTCGAGTCATTACGAATCGTCTCGCACGCTGGTTTGACGACTTCCACCCTCCTGAACAAGCAGGTTTCCGAAAAGGCTTCAGTACCATAGACCACATTCATGCAGCTGCGGCAGGTTATACAAAAGACCGAAGAATATAATCTGCCATTTTGCTTGGCGTTCGTGGACTATGAGTAAGCCTTGGATTCGATTGAGACCTGGCCGGTGTCACAGTCTCTCCAAAAGAGCCAAGTAGACTACAGGTCTGTCTAGGTATTAAGGTACCTTTACGAAAACGCCACTATGTCAGTCGTCAGTGATTGGGCGGGACACGTAGCAAGAAGAACCGATGGCCGTTAGGGCGGAAAGGTTCTAGAAAGCCGACCACGCACCGGACGACGCTCAGTGGGTAGGCCCTCTACAAGATGGATCGACGATCTTTTGATAGTCGCGGGAAGCCGATGGATGCGAGTGGCGCAGGACAAGTCGGTGTGGAGATCCTTGGGGGAGGCCTATGCTCAGCAGTGGGCGTCGTACGGCCTGACATTATGAATAAAACGCCAAGTTGTTTATATGATTTCTGGGTTACATGGTCGTAGTGATTCCTAAAGGTCAGTTTATAATCCATTATTGTTCCATTCATTTTATGTTAGGAATTCAATACAGTCGCTTACATTTTGGATAATTTTATAAAATTTTGCCTCATCGGCGTGAATGAGTCTATTACAAGTTTCGGCACAGTTTTCAGTGTTGTTTATACCTATACAAAATAATTATTAGTAGAGGCCCCACTGGCCCCTGATTACATATAATTGAACAAGTGGTAGGTAGGTATATACGCTGTCATAAAAAAAAGATGATTCTTATATGCAGTTATCTATTTATTTCTGGATCCCTTCATGAGGATTATAACATGCTGATGAATCTTGACATAATCGATTATAAAATCGAAATATGCCGTTCACCTATCTGACGAAAGCTTTACAGGCAGCCTTGTTGGTGCGACCAGCGAGTGTCCTGTTGGGTAGTTCAGGTATTCCGCTGGTGCGGCCCGTGGCACTTGGCAACACTAGGGGCTGCTTGTATTTCACGTAGAACATCGGGTAGCTAAGGTAGGTCCTGTGTAGGAAATTAATGCATATTGTCACAAAGGTCCTAGAAACACAACCGTAAAAATACTGGAGACAGATTTTACCAGAACAGTTGCGACGTGAATATCCGAAATAAAGGTCCCGTGATGTGGCTCATTCTAATATGAGCCTTATGCAGTGCGGCGTTAGGGGGAAAGTGTAACGGCATCTGCACTTGTTTACAACTTATTCGCGTTACTTGCCTAAAAGTAGGTACTACGGACTCGCGGGTGCTACTTAACTCTCCATTTAACGTGAGTTTTTGAATGGGTTGATTGGCGTAGGCTTCGAGCGCCCCATGTACTATACGACCGCGGCTACAATGGGTACGGCGGAGAGGATAGGCACTGATAGAGGGCCAACGAGAAGCTTTCATGGACGTCAAGCGGATTCTTTGAATGAGACTACAAATGGTGGTCCCAAAGTGTAAATTGGCTCAGCTATTAAGACACGTACACTACGATCCGGCTGAAGGGCAACTAGGAATGAAGAAGACGTTCGTGAATGTGAGGGATTGTTTCAACTGGATACACTATCGAGGAGACGTCGAAGACTAGTGCAGAAAATGCAATGCATGCGCCTCAAAGACTCAGTCATTCCAGAAAAGCCTCATTACCTAGTGTCGGTTGCAAAATTCCGCCCACGCGTTTATTGTGGGTAAAAAGTTTCAGTTAAATGTCTACGACCCGAAAAATTCTATTTGTCAATTTCGTTGTGTGTGTTTCGGTACTTTTATTTATAGTAACAACAGTTGGTAAGACAAACTACTACACTCAGCCCAAGGCTGCTCAGTATACTGCTAGGGAAAAGAATAGAGCATTAATAGAAAGAGAGAGTGTAGGTAAGAGGATGCAAGGTTGAAAAACAATGATTGAAAGAAAGCAGGGTAAGGAGAGCAGGAGCAAGGATCGGAAATGATAAAGATTCTTTCGGAGAAAAATTAGGGTGAAAAATATATTTTTTATAACGTATGCATCAGTTTTTGGTCAGGCAAGCAAGTCAAATAAGTGGATTGGGGACTTGGGTTGCTTTACATTTGGCTGCGGTTTGGTTGGCTGGGCCCGCGTGGTGGGTCATGGCCCAATCTCCCTATTCCATCCATAGGGAAGGCCTGTGCCTCAGCAGTGGGGACATTAATAGGCTGATGACGATGATTGTAGAGAGAACACTTACAACACCGCAAGTCCAATTCGAGATTGTTTGATTTCGTGGTGTGCGTTAAATGGACAAACCGTCCGCGTGGTTTCCGGAAGAGCGTCCGCGATTCCAAGTGACACCGCTCTTTCGCCGCCCGCGGTTTGCGATTGTTCACCTAAGTCGTCGGTCCTGGGCTCCTGACGGCATCTGCGGTCCTTAGCAACCCACCAATTTACACTGGGCTCGCGTGACACACATAACGTGGCGCATCCATAAGGAACTTCTGTGTACCCCAGCAGTCGTCGGGGCTGATGATGATGATAATAATAGATTTAGTAATGAAGGTATTGATAGATAGATTAAAACTTACGGTGTCATATCTGGAGGGCATTGGCCACAGTACGTGGGCTCAGTGAAGTAAAGTAATGGATGATATGCTTTTGGATAGCCTCTATAAAAGTCTCTATGACGTTGACAAGCCTGTGCAACAAAGTAAATTATTAAATTACATAAAGAAAGGCAAAATTAAGTCCAGTTAATTAGTATGTATTCAGGAAGTTACCTACCTCTTTCACTCTGCGAGAGAAAATACGCTTGTCTCATCTATTCTTTATATATTTTTAATTTTTTAACCATATAACTGCTAGATGTTTAAATCTAATGATTTTTTATTAGATTAAATCATCTTTTCTTAATAGGTGGAAAGGGATAGGTAATGTGGTGAATAAATGAAAGGACGCGCGCAAAATGTATTTACAGCATTGAGGCAGTGACTACGCCGCCCGCGACGGTAGCGCGACCCACCCTACCCTACCCGCCAAACGAGCGAGTGAGACAGAGCGCGTAGGTACGACACGTTTCTCGCGTGGCAGCTTGCGAGCGAGGCGAGGCGGTGACGGTACGGAGTTGGCGTAGTGAGCGCATACCCATAGAAATCCATACAAAGAATATTAACCGCGAGCGCCGAAGTGGTGCTGGTTGGATGCCGGGTGCGTCAGGTGCGCTATGACCTTAAGTGTCAGCTCCCACCGAAACGCGACGCGACGCTGCACGCTGTACAGAGCGACTCAAAACATAACTTTATTTACTACGCGAAAAGATGCACATTTCATGGTTTGAATTCAGATTACGCGTAGTGCAATGTATTTTGAATTCAAACAATGAAAAGTGTATCTTTTGTTATGTTTTGAGTCGCTGTGCAGCGTGCAGCGTCGCGTCGCGTTTCGGTGTGAGCTGACGCTAAGATCAAAAGTTCTTGGTGCAGCCTATTTTGATACTCAGACATGGCTATATTACATTATGGCAATTATGGGACCAAGAAAGGAGCTCGATGGAGCAATCATAAAGCGCAATGGTATAGTTGTAGCGTGTTAGGAGCAATAGGGTGTAACGCAAAGAGTAGTATAATATACGTGTAACGCAAGCGTAAGGGCGGGAGCCGGGCTGGACAAACCTGCTGCATGCGATTGGACAACTTACTTCGTAGAATGTATCAATTTCATCTTGTCTTCCATTATCTACAAATAATATATCCATTATAAACCAAAACGCTTGTGGAATCAATACAATTTATATTTTACTACATATGGATTTAGTGGAATTTAATGTTGTTTTCCCATTTCTAGAATGTTATGAGCTGTCTGTCATGGTCATGAGCAACTCAATGTGTATGTCTAAAAGTCATCAACCAAAAGGTGGTATGTCTGGTAATGAGCATAACGATAGTGACTATATGTTCTCTATAAGCATAATTCACTATTCTAAGAGAGAATTAAAAAGTGAAACATTTTTTTTTGTCTACGGTTTGACCGTACAAATTGATCGGTAAGGAGCAAGCAAGGAAGCATAAACACTCTGAACTTCTCAATATAATAAAGTAGTAAACAATGCCGTAAAACCGTATAATTCATAATTATTAAATCAGAGAAGATATCGTGTACTGTAATCGCACCAAAAGCTCTATGGCTTGTTGTCATTGTGTCATTGTCATTTACTCAGATGACATAAAGAAATCTATGCCACATTTCGATAAACGTCAAAACAAGGTTCCCGAAATTTTGTAGAATTTTATTTTTGTGAACAATTCTCCGTTGTGAAAGTTTTACCTTGTCTTGTTGTTTAATTTTACAATTTAGTTGCAAAACGAAGAGAAGCATCTACTGTGTCCTTAATTACTGTATGCTATTCTAATTTAGGTGTACTATTTTTGTCCGCTCCCGATTCAGTGCATAGAAATACATTTTGACGTCCAGGAAAAGATGTTCTTCCTGTACGGTAAGTTAGGTTGCCTAAAATGTTTTTAATAGAAGGTTTTAATAATTTATATTTAGTTATCGTATCATATACTTTGAAGTTGCTCCAAGCATTGGTGTTATGCGCGTGGGATTGATGGTCATTATCATATTATTTATTCTAATTTGTGTGTGCCTTGATTGATACAACACTATACATACATAGTAATTAATGACGATTTCACTTGCACAATTTCTATTCAGTAATTTTAAAACACTACAAAATTTTGTTTTAAATTCAGACCTAGATTGTCCTTGTTTTCATTTTTTTTCATTCATTCATTTTTAGAGGCATGCAATTATTGTGTTTAAAGTTTGGAGTTTAGTTATATTTGCATTTCTTAATAAAAGTAATTGAAGTGTAAGAATATGTGCAAATAATATGTATTTTATTTGAAATTGGTCATTCAAGCTACATAATATATCATACATATTGACATATGAAGTTACTAATACAGTTGCCAACTTTTTAAATAGTTGAGACTTTTTTGATGTCATTTTTAGCTTTTAGCATAAATGTTCATTTGTGTACTGTATTAATTAAACTTTATTAATTATAAATATATTACTTCCAATACAATTATATCTGAACCATGATTAAGTTTGTATGAAGTGTTTTGAAACAAATTGGTATTTATCCATTGTATTTTATCAATATTTTTATTTAACATCCTGCTATACATTGTGGATATGAAAAAAGAATTGAATTTAATTAAAATGGTTAAAGTTCATTAATTGTAACATAATAATAAATAATTCATTTGTTATTCAAACTGTATGTTATAATGAATATGACTCATATTTTTATCACTTAAATTACATGAGTATTTTATCTTTAGATAATACTATCTATTAAATAATTGTATTGACTTCTTATTCCAAAACCTCTTTTGCAAGTTGCTATTATGAATAAACATTATTAATATGGAATTTAGAGTTTTCCAATATGCGGAGAGCAGAGCTCTCTTAGAAACTGAATTATTCATGATTTATTAATTTTCATCTTGGGAAGAGTTGTTGGTGCCTTTTTGTCTATTAAGAATATAAATAAGCTTTTATAGATATTTTTGTGCCTGAGTTTTTCTTTAGGTTTTAATTTTCTTAGTTCAGATTAGGATGCCTCTATCACTATCAGTGGTTCTTAAGGATTTAGTGATTTCGGACCATTTTTCAAAATTTCTGTCTTGCCACAGACCACATTTACTATTTGTAGCCCCCTCCCCTTCTAGAATTAGTAAATGAAATAAAATATTGGTCAGTACTGAATGAATAAATGAGGAGCTGGCAAACAAAACAGTTTAATTACATAAAATTAAATTTTACAGGAGCTGTATAAAACTGAATGGCGTACCTCCAGTGAGCTTTAGGCATGGTTTTGTATTTATAAATTTAGTAATTTTAACACTGTTTGAAGAGGTTTTGATTGAAGACAAATTCAATGGGCCCGAAACCTCCAGACTGTAAAAAAAAGTAGCTAGTACTTTTTTTTACAGTATAACTAGGCATCTGCCTAGTTATACCGTTTTGTTCACCAGCTCCTCAAATGTAAATAGCCCTTGATTGTTTGGAGTATTCTCCTACTATCTTAATTATGTATTTTTTTATTGGGTTTGCAAATGGCTTTAAGAACTACTGCTCTAGATTATTTAATTAGTCCATGTACTCCCTACCTACTATTTTATATCATCTTTGATTTCCTCATTCAAATGAAAAGATAGTAAGATTATTATTTATTTTCATTAATCAATATATAAATGACAGATATAAGCATGACTGGATATACTTTGCACCAATTTTGGTGTTCTGTATGTTGTTGATTTAATTATTAATTATAATGCAGATGGAAAGAACACCACTGTGAGTTTGAATGCTAGTAATGTATGAATAACTGTTTTGAAAACATGTGGTAGGATCACTAGCTTTTAATATTATTGAAATGCATGACTCAGACATTATTGCGAACATTGTAGTTTTCATGGTCCATTGGTTGATAACTGGTGAATGCCCCTTAATATAAAATGTCTCATGTACTGTTTATTGACTTTACATCCTTTGTTTGATAACACATGGCATGAGTGCCAGTTGAATACACAAACATATGCTAAATATACCAGTATGATTCATATGATATAAAAAGCACTTTTCAACCATATTTTGTTGAAAAAAAAAATCCAATTAATAATCATTTTTTTTTATTCTATCTTTAATTGTGGTTCTTGCCTACATAATTTTGTACTATCAGTAGTAGACTTATTATGGTGTAGTGTTTGCTTTTTTCTGTCATACAATTTATTAATAAAATTTAAAGTGATGATTTAATTTTACTTTTCTGATATGATTAATGATGTATTTAAATAAATAATTTCTAATCAATAGGTATATAATATTTTTCATGAGAGGACTCAGTTAAGCAGCCTATCTATTAAGATAGGCTGCGAGGACTCAGGATGGAAGGATGAGAGGACTCAGTTAAGCAGCCTATCTATTAAGATCCTCTCCTGAGAGGTAAAGGGTATGGGGGAGAATGAAAACGGGGACCGTGTGAGGTGCGGGCGGCAGGCACATTCTTGTCAAAATTACAAGTGCCGCCCGCACCTCCCACGGCCCCCGTTCTCAACCTCCCCCACACCCTGTACCCCGGCGGCGAGGTCTTAGTTAAGCGGTTTACCTATAGATTAGTTTACCTTTTAACGGAAGATTGAAAATGTTCGATATTATTTAAGTTTTTGAACACTAATACATACGGGATAGCGAAATTAATGAAAAAAAAAGAACTTTATTCGACTTCTTAATAAAAATTTACCTAAAATAAGCGTCGGCGTCGTAAAAAGAAACTTTCCAGTCATTCCCCTTCTATTTATGAGATTTAAATTGTATCTATCTCTTTCATTCTTTTCGCACACATTCAACTTACTGTCTCTTTCATTACATATCTTACGTTCTGTTTCCCACATACATTTTCATTATATAAATAAACAAGGATTTTAATGAAGGACAGAAAAGTCTTCTACTGGTACATGTAATAATCTCATTTTAAAAATAAAATTAGTAATAATGTTTATTTTTCTCTTTATAAATAATTTCTTAAGCATATACATTAAAACTAAGCCACATGTTTTCATATTGTATTAGTGTTACTCCTAATTAATCAATTTAAAAAGTTTTCGTTTTATTGTTGATTATAAAATGTAATGATGGTTTTTTTTATAATGTTGTTCCAGTTGATACGTAACGGCGTGCCATTGTGATGGTAATGACGTGCGCTGCGGGCATGGGCGACGCGGTGCTGCGCGAGCGGCTGCCGGCGTTGTGGCGGCGCATAGAAGACGCCCACTACAGCTACCTAGAGATAGAAGACAGTCCGGAGAAACTACAGTTGAAGAAGAAGCTGGAAGGTAATGGTTCACAATAATGTATGGTATGGTAATACGTGCGTGGCGGGCATGGGCGACGCGGTGCTGTGCGAGCGGCCGCCGGCGTTGTGGCGGCGCATAGAAGACGCCCACTTCAGCTACCTAGAGATAGAAGACAGTCCGGAGGAACTACAGTTGAAGAAGAAGCTGGAAGGTAATGGTTAACAATAATGTATGGTATGGTAATACGTGCATGGCGGGCATGGGCGACGCGGTGCTGCGCGAGCGGCTGCCGGCGTTGTGGCGGCGCATAGAAGACGCCCACTACAGCTACCTAGAGATAGAGGACAGTCCGGAGAAACTACAGTTGGAAAAGAAGCTGGAAGGTAATGATTAACAATTATGTTTGGTATGGTAATACGTGCTGCGCGAGCGGTTACAGGCATTGTGGCGGCGCATAGAAAAAGGAGTGTAAGATTTTCAGGTTTATGTATGTATGTTTGTTTATACGTTTCTTTATTCCAGCATAATTATTTAATGCCAGAGCAGAATAGGGTATCGTAAAAACTACCTCGCCAGTGACACTCTCTATGAATGAGGGTTTTGTTTAATGACGGGCACCAGGTGGCACACTGAGACGAAAGGTCTACTCATTCGTCAAATCGCATAAGTCTTTATATAGTCTACAGATAAATTTAACTTCATACAAAAGACTGACTGAGAACTGGTGACGTAAATTTTCATTTAAAAAAAGCAAGCTGACTCTTTCATTTAAAAACCTTGAAAACAGTTGTTGTATCTGATTTCTGCGAATTACTATCTCCTTAGTAGTCTCCGAATAGTAATTGTGTATCTTTTTTGTCAATATATTTTAATCACTTTGTCTAATAATTTATTTGGGTTAGTTCTTTATTTTTATTTCCATTTTTAATTATGTGGTTATTATTTCAGATTACATCATAGAGTACCTGTCATTAGTGCCTCACGAGTGTAAATTTGGATTGGCGGAGACGGGAAAGGTGTTCCAGAGGACTATAAATGAGCTGCCGGAGTTCAGTGCCTACCGAGCCGGGTTAGGCTGGGCAGCGCTGGCTAGGTACGCGGCCAATCTGCTAGCACAACCCTGGAGGAAGGAGTATAAAATTATTAGGGTAAGTAATTAAATTTGATAAAATTTGGTACGCATATAGTTTATGACCTTTTTTTTGTTGACGGTGGAAAATTCATTTACGGGACCATACCGCGCGCAGGCTAGACGCGCGACGTGTGTGGGACTCCCCAGCGCGGAACAGCGCCGGTCCTACCCACTAAAAACCACCGGTACCCTCCTACCCCCAGACGCCCCCCGTCTGGAGATCGGCGCTTGTGTGCGCCATTTCACCGGGACACCCCCGGGCCGGCCCGGCCCAACGGGTGGACCGTGCGACATGCCTCTGGGGGATTGCGCTAGGGTACTAGACAATCCCCAGATCCTCCTCCCGCTCCCTCTCCACGGCCTCCTTTTGCCCCATCACCGATTCGCAGAAGGAGGCGGCAGCCTTCCAGGCCCTCTCATTGCCAAGCATGGCTTGAAGCTTACTTGGCAATGAGAGGGCTCTACCAACGTGCGGCGCTCGTTTCGCCAGGCCGGGCACTCGATCAACGTTTGCTCGGCGGTGTCGTCGGGAGAGTCGCAGTGATGACACCGCGTTGACTCCTCCCGATGGGCGGTGCGGGTAGTGGCCGAAGCACCCATGTCCGGTCAGTACCTGCACATAATAGTTTATGACCTGGATTGAGACATAGGATACTTTTTAGCCGGAAAAAATATTAGGTTGGATTCTCAAAAAAAGCTAACGCAGACGAAGTCGCGGGCGGCCACTAGTTGTTTTATATTGTTTATCTACTATCCCATAACACAAGCCTTAAAGTGCTCAATTTGGAGCTAGGCTAATTGGTGTGCTTGTTGGAAATATTTATTTATTTTAATTGTTGCGTTTTGTTTATCCAACCAGTTGTACTGCGGGTATTTCAAACATGAAGTTGAAGCCAACATGGTCGGGGCGGAGACTCTGCTTCACGCGATGGGGTACAAACCAGCAGGCGCGGGCAGATTGGCTTTAGACGCGCCCATCTGTCCAGATATGGTGGCGGCCATATCAAGGGACGCTATTATAGCGCAGTGCGAGTGCCAGGTACGGAAAGCGTTTTGTATCACATGGACGATTTTTATTGTTATGTGTCTTTATAATTTTTGAATAGATTTTTGTAAAAGTCAGAAAGTTCATAAGCATAGTGTTTTACAATTAAAGGAATAGGTTGTAGTCCTTGCTTATAAGAGCCAGAGAGAAAGAGTGAGAGAAAAATCTTTGATGTATTAAAATTTTCCCAGTTCGCACGCGCGCTTTTCCACCGGAAAAAACGATAATATGCACTACTTCAAACGCCTGAATTTCTAAATAATATTCAATAAATTAGATCAAATTAATTACTACGACAGCAGAAATATGTTTTTGTTGTAACATAATGTATTAGAATTTTGATTTTCCATCTGATTAATTATCAAAAAAATCATCTAATGTCCATGAATTTTCCCAAAAAACAATGCAAGTTTACCTCGTAATTTGATTTTGAATTAAATAGAATTACTATCAAAAACTTTCCCATCATTGAACTACTGAAATATGTATATATTTTTATAATTAGTTCTTTAATAATTATTTTATCAGACTCGAAACATCACCCGTAAAATGCAATATATACTAGTGCAAATCTACCTACGCGCCGATCAGTACGGCAGCGGCGCAATTTTGTAAAAGTGCTCTTAAGATGTTGAATGTTGTTGCCTCAGATAATGTCGCACATATGGGAGAGCGTGTGGGGTCTCGGCGTGCGCGCGTCGTGGGTGGAAGTGGCGCGCGAGCGGGCGGCGCACGCCAGCGACGCGGCCGCGTGTGCCGCGCGTGTGGCCGCCCCCGCGTCTATTCCCGCCCGGTCCCGCGCCCTAGGTGAGTGTGAGACACAACGATGTTAAATACCCTAGATTAGTCATGTCTAGTACGCGAACGAAGGTCTTAAGAGCGCTCCCACGGAACTACTTCCCTCATTCCCCGTTCCATAGTTCAATAGTTCGCGTTCGTAACCGAATGAGCGAGTGGCATTAACCGAACGTATGTCGTTACGAAACTCATCATACATACACGGGTAAAATTTGGAGGGATTTTCGAGGCCGGCTCTGTGTATGACACACATTTTATCTTTAAATAAGTCTTCAATCAACAATAACTTCTAGGTACGTATTTGAAAAAAGTGAAGTATTAAGAAATATATTTTTATCACTACTTCTATTCAAACGGAGGTTTTTGCTGTTTTAAAAGTACAAAATTGCAAGTAAAAGTACAGCATTCGATAATCTTGTTACATTCGGCCAGAGCAGTATCAAAACTGATTCACTGATTCGAGGTGGGAGCTGACGAACTAGAAGAGCGAACTAGTTCGTTTAGGGTCGGCGACCTAAGCGGAGCGATCTTAGTTGAGAACTACTATGCCCAAGACTACCGTAGATACACCACGTGCGCTCTAAATGTGTCTAAAAAGCAGAAGCAAAATTGCAAAGAGTTTGTCTTTCGGATGTGAGACAATCGGTTCCTCCCAATCGTTTTCCTCCAGTCGCCGAGCTTCGGAAGTCGTTTAATATTTATTGCCCATTCACACTGCTGACGCTGACTTCACGAGGTGTATGTAAAGAACTTAAAGTTCTTTATATACTCCTCAGAAATAAACAAATTAAATCGAAAAACGCATTTCGTATATATAGGAGACGATCATTGATGACTGTAGTGCGATAATGATGCAGACTTTTTGTGTATTTTCAGTTAACATGGCAAAATTAATTATAAAGACTGGATTCCTAGCAATCGTACACGACATTCCACTTGCCAACCACAAACGATATTCCACTTGCCAATAGTAACCAAGTATTGTAACGTGCTACTTTCTACAAAATACAAAACATAATATTAAAAATATTGCTTTATAAGTTAGTTTACTTTTTCGGAGGAGCTTTTTTTTGAGGTGCTCGATGGCGCAGGTGGTCCGCACGTTCGGCTGCGATCGTTGAAGTTGAGCAACTTTCGCAGTGGTCGGTTATTGGATGGGTGACCAAAAATCTTATATCTCAAGTTCCTCCGTGCTTCGGAGGGCACGTTAAGCCGTTGGTCCCGGCTGCATCTGCAGTCGTTAGCACCCGCCAATCCGCACTGGGCCCGCGTGGTGGGTCATGACCCAATCTCCCTATTCCATCCATTGGCAAGGCCTGTGCCCCAACAGTGGGGACATTAATAGGCTGATGATGATGATAATTACTTTTTCCACGTTACAGGTATTGTCCATTTCTTTCGTTGATTTCGTTTCCAACTTGCTTGTGCAAATTTTAAAAATGTGTGATCACTGTTATTGCCATTGTTCTTGCATTTAACTAATGTACGTAGCAGGTTTCGTGAAGCATGTTTAGTTATTTTACCTTAAAATGCACGGAAACGTAAATTTTGCAATTATGGAGTGTCAGTTGATCTGCCGAAAGTTCCTTTTTTGGCCATACGTGGTTCCCCTACCTCCTGCTACGCACCCAGCGAAAAGAAACATACCAGAATGCTTCGAATAACATGCCAATGCATCGTCAAATTAAAAAAACCTCTTCCATGTATTATTTATTAAAGAAGAAAAAAAAACTAAAGTACCCGTTTTCAAATATTGTATTTGATAGTTTACTATCATACACCTTTGGCAATCTATAACGTGGTTCGTGTCTGTCTGTATCTGTATGTCTGCACGGAGTTGCCCGCATTTATTTTTAAATAATTATTTTCTTTGCCTTTTAATTACGCACTGTTTATACTACGGCCTGCTTTTTTGTCTACGGCCTTGTTCTTAAGTTATGGTCACCCATCCTACCAACCGACCGACAAACGGTAAACGGATGTAGTAAAATAGAACGCCCTTCTGCTTTTCACGTGAAAATAATAATTTCCTTTGTTCACAGATTCAGAAATATACTCCAATGTACCGCTGACGGTGTCCGACTCGCATCGCAATCGACTCGCGGACAGATATCACGCCATGCCTTGCAACCATCTATGCGCGGATGACCCAATCTTAGAGGATCCCATCACACCAGTCGTCCAACCTTCGTATATGGTGCCACAAACGATGCTCCCACCACAGATGATGTATCCGATGCCACACCAACATATGCACCCCGAAATACCCGTAACAGTCACTAACCAACCCATGATGACCCCTTACGGTGTCCCTTACTACTACCCTGTTCAAGCCCCTTACATGATACCCACTCCTATGTACGCACCAATAAAACACGCTACAAATGTACCAATAAACGGTTACCCTCCAGTGACGCAATACAACAGGTATCCATCAGTACCGACTGGCCAGCTGATCGAACTGGACACACCGTCAGTTTACGAGAACGGAAAATTCGAGAAACACAGAGAAGACGACAGAAGTCACAGGAGGAGTAGACAACCGGAAAGTTCTCGAAGAAACAGCACTTCTAGATCGGGTTTCAGTGACGTCACGTTGCCTAGTTTACCCCGATCCGATACGCAGCCAGTTCTCAGCAAAGCGAAGGAAGACGGAATGGGCACTTACGAGAGTTGGGACTATGTGTTTAGGAATCTTTCGAGCAAAGACCAGGATGGGGAAAGCCGGAGTAGGTACTCCCCTTCTTTAGACAGAGATTCGAGGACCCTGGACAGGTTAGATAGAGAAGAAAGGCGAGTGAAATACCAACCAACTACTTTAGACTTAGAAGATGGTTTACAAGCGTTGAACATAGACAGGTCTTACGACGAAGACGCGTATCGAACGGCGAAAGTGAACGAGAATTTGATGAGAATGAAGCAGGAGCAAGAGTTGAAACGAGCTAAGCAAATGGCGAAGAAACAGGCGGAAGAGAGGAGGACGAAAAAGTTGGAGCCTATCGGTAATCCGAAGGCGGATGCGTTGATTACTAGTAAAGTGGCCCCGGATAAAGTGAAATTATTGACTAAGAAGGACGTGAAAGATAGGAAGGAGGTGCTAAAGCAACAGAATTCTGTGAATGGGTCAGTGGAGGTGAAACGAGTGAAAAAACCTCCGAAGCTAGTGGCCGCGGAAGTGGACCGGCCGCTCAAGACCAAACCTATAGAAAACGGACACAGCTCCAAAGCTGTTACTGGTAAGTCATTTAAGTTGAGTTTTGAACTAATTTTTGACCCCCCTTATTAATAAACGAGGCAAAGCTTGGACTTGTTATGACGTGTTTTGTAATATTACTTAAACGCCATTTGTCATTCAATGAACAGAGACAAAACATGGAGTAACCAGTCTAAGCTTATTCTTCGTTTATTAATAAGGGGGTATAATTCAATAATTTTATGAGTTTGCAAGCATCAGAAAGAGCCGTGTAGCCACGAGGTACATCAAAATACAAATTTTCCAAGTTGCTTCGAGTCGCGTTTTATCAATTTTATTATTATTTGTATTTGATTATCTATGAATTGCATACAAAAATGTTCAGATTCCGTTTTTTTTATAGGCTTTTAGTATAAGTATAAAAAAAGATATCAGAATCTTTCAAACTAAACACATTTTTGCTTTACGTCTAGCATGAACTTATTATCTTTAGTTTTAAGCTTTAATAATAGCAGGGAACTGTATAAATAAACAACAGATTTTTGGAAGAACCCATAAACCTAACGCATAGTACATTATCCATCTTTATACCTATTAATGGGATTTGTTACCATGTACCTTGTTTTTTATGAGTCTCCGATATTTCTACACGGAATAACTGTGATAGTCAGTTACTCCGTGATCATGGCGCTTGCAACAGTAACGAAATATCGGAGACTCATAAAAAACAAGGTACATGGTAACAATTCCGTTAATAGCTATAAAGTTAGTGACCATGAAATTTAAAAAACAATATTATCCATCTTCTATTACAGCTTCTCCACCGAACTACGATCTGAAAGCGCAACTGGTCGTTTCGCTAGACGAGGCCGACGCCGCGCGTCGATCGCCCCCGAAACCATTACAAAACGGCGATAGAGCGACCGCCCAAGAGAGATGGGAGTGCGGCACTTGTACCTACATTAACAGTATTGCCAACGTCGCCTGCGAAATGTGCGGTAAGTCGAAGAGAGGGCCGGAGATCCAACCGCTCACTTCCGGTGGGCGTGAATGTCCAATCTGCACTCTAGTCAACCAGAGGGACGCGAAGGAATGCGACGCGTGCCGTACTAGTCTAGATCATTGTCCCACGTACATTTAGGTGGAGTGATTTCCGAGTCGACCGGATAGGATGTTTGATAAGTGTGTGGCGGCGACATCTACATGCCCCACATATAATCCATACGGAGGAAATAGTCACTCGCCTCTTTAAGAGATGGCGCTACCGGGGCTGCACTTGCAACGTATGGAAGACTAAATCGCGCAAGTAAAATTCGGAAGCTAACACTCGATATATACGATGCCCGATCAACATCAGTCGGGCCGCGGCCCCCGAGCTACCATCACCCAGCTCGGAGGATGATCATCCCCTTCCTACACTTATCACGTCGGGGTCACCAGTGACTATTTCCGTATTGATTATATGTAGGGCATGTAGATGTCGCCGCCACAAGTGTATGAAAATTTAAAACTATCACTGCTATTTTTACAAGTGTTTCTGGACTCCTTTAAAAGCGAATATTTATAATTTTTGTGTGGATTTCAGTGAAAGATTGAAATTAATACTTTTGTTTTCAAAGGACATCGACGAAATCGGCCCTAGCATGCCCAAAAGAATGTCCTTCACTATTATTTTTCTATTATTTTTTTAACTTATTAGCAATTAATCATAGTAAACGGACAATCTGTTTAAAAATTAAAAGTTCTTTTACTAGATACTACCGTCTGTTCATCCAACTAGGCACTCCTTTTTATTGAAAATACAGCATTAAAAATCAACTGATAACTGGATTCAATAGGTTTCAGTCTATAATAACGATTTATTTTAATAGTTTATTGGCTTCGTTAATATTTAAATATTAAATGGGTTATTCTGTTAAAAAGTTGTGCCAAGATTGTTTACCTTAGTAATGCAATATAGGCGACCATAGGTATTTATCAACATAAAAATAGAACTAGGTACCTTAGTTAATAATACTTATTACTAGTATTTCTATTATATTTATGAAAAGATTATTTCTGAAATTATCTAAAGATAGTTTATACTCCCATCCCATGTAATATCTGTTTATTTTTATGAAAATCATAATGATAACCAGGTACATATCTAATTACCGATAACTGTAGGAACAGGTAAATGGAAAGACTGAACATTTCATTTGAAAAGAAATCTATCATTACTTACTACAGGTATCATAGGTACCAACTGACAACACTCATAAATCAATATGAATATAAGCATTTATTATTTTTATTATTAATTGCATTTTATGTTCATTTAATGCATATTATTTAAGTGCTTACATAGAGGTAAACACTAAATCTATTCAGAATATATAAAGTGTACATCTTTTATGATTAAGTATAATAATTATAACCTCAAAATCTAATACATTATGTAGTAGGCCACGGTTCCTCAAGTTGTCCGTATCTCAACAAATGCTTATTTAGAGTTTATGAATGATTCCGAACACAACTAGCATTTTCTCATTGCTGGGCGTTCTAGGGCATTCAATGTATGGGGAACGAGCAATGTCCTTTGCTAAGGAAGCGTTTCTCTGGGCAAAATGGCGTGTGACGTAAGATGACTGTCATTAAAACGTCGAAGGGTACAGAGTTACAGTGCGACCAAGACCTATATGAATGTGTGTGACAGTTCAGGGAGGTCGCCACTGTACTATACGTAAATGACCGTAAATATTGTACAAAATATGACGTTTACAAAGACGGCGGCGTTAGTTCCATTTTGTCACCACTTTCATAAAGATCTTGGTCGCACTGTATGTTTATTTCGCAGAAAATTTACAAAGTGTGAGGTCATTTTAGGTTAGGACGATCCTAGGCGTTTACGACCACAGGACATGATTTTTAGGATATAACAGCATAATATTTTACTTTTTACATACTTATTTCTAATTTATTATTCATATTGTCAAATAACCTATTGTGTTTTTGACTTAGAACATGGCGATTTGTCACTTTAAGGCGATATTCGCTTGAACACGATGTTGTAAATGTACGGAAACTTTATGAATTACTTCCAGCTACTTTCGCCTAAAAGGGGCTGATCAGATCATCATTTCTCTCTGAATCGTAAGATGAGGAATACCTACGTAAAAGATAGTGGCTCTCTTATAAGGCCAAGATCATCCGAATTTCGCTCGTAAAACGAGTTATACGATTTGAATGTGTACAAACTTCGACTAAGCGTGTTAGTCTATGTTTTTTTTTGTTTGGAAAGCCGTACTGACTTTCGTCACTCTCATTTTAAATTTTGTGATACAAGTGTTGCCGATTTTTCGTCCTTTCCGGGAAAATCAATATTTACAAAGCATATTTTTATCGACGCCTTATAAATTGATGTTTAAGTGTATGGAATTGACATTGTCTCAATTATAAATCGAAGTCAAATCCCTCCATTTAATTCGATCACATGCACATGTAAAAAGAATATTTATTTGTAATAATTCAACTCGTCTCAAAAAAATGTATTTTATTATTAGGTGATTTGAGCTAACCAATTCATCACGTGTAATTTTGAGTTGTGAAGTCACATTTTGCAAACAAACTTATGTTGTATACAACTACGTGTATTCTTAAAAGCAATTTCAAAGATAAGAAGGCTTCTTCACTGAAATTCGCCTAATAATTATTAGATGGAGATACAGAAATATGCCATTTAAACAAGTTCTGAAGTGGGGTGGGTCCACATGCTTGTGTTTGCTGCAAACAACAAACACTTGACAATCGCCGACTACAATCACCCAATACAAGCGCGCATCCCCAGGCTTGGCGAGCTAACTAGTAAATTTCGGTTTCGCAAATAACATTCTTTGTTTTGTAAAAAAAATCGAAACCGACGCCGATCACTGACGAACACAACATCAAACAACATTGACAGGCAAACAGCCATACCATCTACACGTTTGTGTTTGCTGCTTGTGTCCGTTGTTTACCAAGCGTGTGTAGGCACCACCTTAAAATGTCCATTTACAATCAACACCGTGATGTCATAAGATCAGGCCGATCAATTATTATGATTGAGCCTGATTAGCGTTTCTTGCAATTTACTGGTAAACATATATAATTTGATTTTAGAATAAAAATAAAATTCGCAATTTATGATTTCGCTACAAGGATTGTGTAACTAGCAGCTATCATATCCAAAATGGGACGTATTTTATTGTTACAACTGTCAAATAGCTAATTGGATATTGTAGAAATTATTTTTATTATATTGTCTATATATAAATATTGTTAACAATGTGTCCAACCAAGTGCTAAATGGTCATGGATAATGTTGACTTTGAATAATTTTAATTAAAATTCAATCATAGAAATAAATATTATTAAACGTAAATAATACTCAACATGACGTTGCACTTGAGCGACTAAGGCGCCCTGCAGCACAGATTTTTTTATTATCTGGTCAAAATTTCAATAATTTTATCAGTTTGCATATTTTATTTGAGAACATAGTCATTATTAAATTATGATTCAATTATTTAAATCTTGACCAGAAAATTTTAAATAATATAATAGAACTTTGTAATTTTTGTTCAAACTTAGAACTTTATCATATTTGAACAAATATGACAAAGTTCTAAGTTCTATTAGTATTAACAAATGCTTTAGTTTAGCATTTAAAATACGTTACTAAAATGACATTATTATTCTATATTTAAAATAAAAACAGCTTATTGTGAACTGCTTTTGATTATATACAGGCCTAGATACCGAATTAACTACACGGAAGTGGCCCGAAAATATCTACTACATATGGTAGATACGCTTGTCGCTACAAACGCGCACACTGATTGCTTTAAAACATTCTGATATTAGAGTCGCGTGCACATTTCGCATGACATGAGCCGTTTTCTTTGAGTGGTTTATTTGTATTGCTCTAGGCGTGTATATAATCAAAGTATAATTGGAATAAAAATAAGAGTTGAACAATTACCCTCCCTCCCTCCCAGATTGCCAAGTTAAATTTTTGTAATAATTTACTCACAAAAGAATAGTTTTTAGTTTCTTTTGGTTGCACAAAGAAGTAGTGCGTACAAAAATTAAGTATAATCACTATCACTTTAACTGTAGCCGATAAAGTGTTAAGATAAAACTTATTTCAAACTATCTGTTAGTTTCAGAGATACCTAAATGTTATAAAATTGCTGAATATGTTTTAAGAGATATCATGCAAAATCTTTCAGATATACCGGGGCCTTATTGAGGGCCTAGATATATAGTAGAATTATGTAAAAATACTGTTGTGTTTATGTCAAATGACAAAAACTCTTATTATTCTATAACTGAATCAAACTTAACTTAAGCACAGCAATATAATAACAAAAAAATTAATAGTTTTCAAGTGATATAATTATCAAAAAATTATGTAAGAGAAAATTGTGCAAATAAGCAAAATTATTGATTTCATTTGATTTGCAGTCAACTTCTATGAAATCGGTAATATGTTTAATAAATGATTGCGTTAGTAATGCAATTTGATGTTGGTAATAACATTGACAGACAGACATTGGTCATTTTATTTCCACATGTTAATAAAGTTTATGTAAAATTCTATCAATAAATAGCCATTATAGCATTTAAAATTTTGAGTGTATTCTAAAAATCATTAAACGTCAAGAATAAATTCGTAATTATACATTCCTTAGAGAAATCTGTGTAATGGCCAATACTAAATATTCAATTACACTGAAATGCCAATTGTGGATTCTGTCTATGGACAGTTGTTAACTGAGAGTAAACTTCAGAATTGACTTCAGTCCCCGTAGCATGAGCACCACAATTTACATTATATCACATTTTTTTATCGCGCCCGACTGTCAAACTACATAGTAATTTGGCAATTGAGTGTGATAAAAAGGAATTTTATATCATTTCGCGGTGTTCATTCTAGAGGGGCTGAATCGACTCCTATGTTTTATTACTATATCTTGTAGAATGATAATGAAAAAAAAAATCGAAGAAGTAAATCATGAACTTTAGTTTCTGTTCTACATTCAACAAGCTAATTAGACTTAGAAAGAAGATAGAAAACAAAGAAGGTTCTTGATGCAGCTTATACTGCATGATTATAATATCTTTAACTTGACATTTTAACCATACAAGTAAATTATTTCGTTTGGATATTTTTTTTTTCTACTTGAAACGCACACTAATTTAGATATTAGATTGGTCTTTAAAATTCAGAATACATTGTAACCCCTCGTTTACACCAAAAAACAAGTCATATACTAGTTTTACGTGTAGAGTACTTGTTGTGACTGTTTTAGTATGTTACAAACATTCTT